CCCACCCCCCACCTGATGTTGATTATTGTGAGGATTTTTGTTTCATGTTGACGTGTAATCAGTAAGTATTTAATGTTCTCTTCCCTTTCAGCATGCAAGGTAGTATCATCTGCATTATCATAGTAGGTTGTTAATCAATTTTCCTCCAATCTTGATGCCTCGTGCTTCTTCATGTAGTCTAGGTTCTCAAATTATTCGCTCAGCATATAGGCCAAATGCAGTGAAAGGAGCACACAGGGCTTCTTCTTTTGAAACTATGCAGTATCCCTTTGTTGTGTTCCAACAGCCCATTGGACTAATTTTCTTTTCATTTTATCTGAAATTCCTTTAGCTGATTACAAAATTTTCAGGAGGGCAAAATGCATATAATTTAACTTCTTTTTTTAAAAAAGTCATTTTATTGGGGGCTCGTACAATTCTTAACACAATCCAGACATACATCCACTGTGTCAAGCACATTTGTACATTTGTTGTCATCATCATTCTCAAAACATTTGCCTTCTACTTGAGCCCTTAACAGCGGCTGCTCATTTCCCCCCTCCCTCCCCACTCTCTCCTCCTTCATGAACCCTTCATAATTCATAAATTATTATTATTTTGTCATGTTACACTGTCCGATGTCTCCCCCAGCCCTTTTCTCTGCTATCCATCCCCCAGGGAAGAGGCTATACATAGATTCTATAATCGGTTCCCCTGGACTAATTTTCATGTGAGCACAATGAAGTGTTTTAGAACTCCTATTCTTTATGATTTTATACAAACTTTGCCATAGTACACACAGCTGAACTCCCTTGCATAATCAATAAAACAAAGGAAAACCTCTTTCTGATATTCTTCACTTTCAGCTAAGAGCTATCTGACCTCAGCAGTGATTTCCCAGGTTGCATACTCTTTCCTGAATCAGTTGTGAACTTCTGATAGTTCCCTGTAGATGAACTGCTGCAATTATTTTAGAATTATCTTCAGCAAAATTTAACATTTATGAAGTATTAATGATACTATTTGATACTTTGTGTATCCTGTTGGATAACCTTTATTTCAGATGGGCAAAAATAGATCTCTCTCCCAGTTGGCCAGGTAGCTGTTTTCCATCACGGATAAGTGAGGTTTTCTGCACTATTTCCATTGCTTAAGCATCTCAATTGGTGTTCTGCCAGTCCCTACAATCTTGCTTTTCATCAATGTCGTCGGTGTAGCTTAAACTGCTTCCTTAAATACTATTGGTTCTTGGTGACATGCTACCGCCTGAAATGTTGGATATTGACCAATTGTTTTCGGTGTGGTAACTATATTCCATGAATCTTTTCTTGAGGATGCCTGCATCACTCAGTGATGTGATCTCCAACGTCAATTCTAGTAGCAATTCTTGTTTCCTACTCGCCCATTCAAATCACCAGTCATTATCAATCAAGGTATCTTGATTACAGGTTTGATCAAATTTCGAATACAGAGTGGTAAAAACGTTCAATTTTTTCATCGTTGGCATTATTGGTGTTGCATAAATTTGAACAAGAGTCATAATAACTGGTTTTCCTTGTTGGCATATGTATATTACCCTATCACTTGCAGTGCTAACTTTAGATCTTGCAATGTTCGTTTCAGCAATGAAGATTATATCATTCCTCTTCCACTCATCTTTCTCAGCTGTGTTATTGTTGTGCTCCAACCCATAGCAACCCTATGCACAACAGAATCAACCACTGTGGGCACTGTGTGGTCCTGCACCATCCTCACAATCATCCCTATGCCTGAGCCCATTGATGCAGTCACTGTGTCACCAACCATCTCACTGAAGGCCTTTCTCTTTTTCTCCATCTCTCCACAAACAGGATATCCTTCTCCAGGGACTGATCTCTCCTGACAATACGTCCAAAGTATGTAAGACAAAGTCTTGCTGTCCTTGCCTTGAAGGAGCACTCTGGGCTTACACAGATAAATTGGTCCTTTTAGCAGTCCGACGTGCTTTCAATATTCTTCTCCAGCACCACAATTCAAATTCATTGATTCGTCTTCTGTCTTCTTTATACAATGTCCAACTTTCACATGCATATGAGGTGATTGAATATACCATGGCTTGGGTCGGGTGCATTTCAGTCCTAAAAGTAAAATCCTTGCTTTCCAATACTCTAAAAAGGTCTTATACAACAGATTTGCCCAATGCAATATGTCTTTTGATCTCTTTGAATGCTGCTTCCATGAGCATTGATTGTGGATCCAAGCAAGACAAAAATCCCTGACAACAATTTTTCTCCATTTAACATATTACCTATTGATCTAGTTGTGAGGATTTTGGTCTTCCTTATGTTAAGTGGTAATCCCTACTGAAGACTATTAATCCTTGATCTTCATCAGCACATGCTCCAAGTCCTCCTCACTTTCAGTAAGGAAGATTGTGGCATCTGCACAATGCCGGTTGTTGATAAGCGTTCTTCCAATCCTGATGCCATACTTGTCTTCAGATACTCCAGCCTCTCTGATGATTTATTTAGACTGATGAAGTATGGTAAAAGAACACAATCCTGAAGCACACTTTTCCTGATTTTAAATCATGCAGTATTCCCTTGTTCTGCTTGCACAACTGCCTCTTGATCCATGTACAAGTTCCAAATGATCATTATGAAGTGTTTTGGAATTCCAATTCTTCTCAAGATTACCCAAAGCTTATTATAGTCATGCACAGTCGAATGGCTTTGCCTAGTCTGTGAAACACAAGTAAACATCTTTCTGGTATTCTCTGCTTTGGGCCACAATCCATCTGACATCAGCAATAATATCCTTGTTCCACACACCCTCTTCTGAATCTGGCCTGAACATCTGGCAATTTTCTGTCAATGTACTGCTGTAACTGTTGTTGGATAATCTTAAGTAAAATTTAATTTGTGTGTGATCAATGATATAGTTCTATAGTTTGGGCATGCTGTGGGGTCACCTTTCTTAAGAATGGCACAAATATGGATCTCTTCTAGTCAGTTGGTCAAGTAACCATCTTCCAAATTTGCTGGCATAAATGAGTGAGTGCTTCCAGTGGTTCTTCAGCTTTCAGAAACATTTCAATGGGCACTCCATCAATTCCTGGAGCCTTGTTTGGGGCTAATGCATTCAGTGAAGTCTGATCTTCTTCCTTCAGCACCACGGATTGTTGTTCAGATGCTACCTCCTTAATTGGTGGACTGTCAACTAGTTCCTTTTGGTACAGTGACTCTGTGTTTTCTTTCCGTTGTTTCTTCATGCTTCCTATAGCATTCAATATTTTGCCTATAAAATCTTTCAAAATTTCAATTCTTTCCCCAGCATAGCAGGCCCATTTAAAATGGCTAATGCCAGTCTACTAATGCTTACCATATTGATCTTTATTTGCTCCATTTCATTATTGATGGATTCCAATTGTCCTACATTCATACTTGGTTCCAATTATTAATGGATATTTACAACGGTTTCTTCACATTTTGAGTCATGTCACATTAGCAAATGAAGGTCCTGAGAGATTTACTCCATCTATATCATTAAGGCTGACTACTGTGAAGAGGCAGCTTTTTTCCTATTGTATTTTGAGTGTCTTCCATCTGGAGGCAGCTCATCTCTGGCGCGCTATCAGACAATGCCCTGCTGCTATTCATCCAGTTTTCACTGGCCAATTTTATTTCAGAAGTAGACCAGTAGGTCCTTCTTATCAGCCTAACTTAGTCTAGAAGCTGTTGAAACCTGCCTACTAAGAGTGACCCTGATAGCAAATTTGAAATACCAATGGCACAGCTTCCAGCATCATAGCAACATGCAAGCCACCAGAGTACAACAAACAGACAGAAAGAGTGGGAAATCTTTGTTCTTAGTTCCTAATATTTGTGAATTGCAAATGCTGACTCTACACAATGAGTTTTTCCTTTGTTGGCTTAAGATTCTGCCTGTCGTACAGTGTCTAATCTACACATTTGCTCTGCATGTTTATAGCAGAAGAGGTACGGCCTGTTCAGAGGGCTACTTTCCATCACAAGTAGCAAACCACATTTATTTGAGTGATCCTACCTCCACTTCTGTGGTGCATTAGTGACTTTCTACCCCACTCCTCCCTCTCTTCCTACTCTTAATCTCTACCTTCTTCTTGTTATGATAGAGAAAAGGAGATATATTCATCCACCCAAAGAAGACTTAGAGTGCATTTCTTCCAAAGTTAGCTGTATCACAGACAAAGGGACAGCACCATAGGCTGCAAACTGATAGCTCAGAGATGTCATTTGAGTGGTCACTCAGTATGTAAAATAATTTTAGAGAAAAAAAATTTTTAAGTCAGTTGCCAATGTTTAATATTGAGAGCTTTTACTTAAACTTACACTGGATTTCTACCTCTTAAAAAAAAAAATCTGATTTTCCAGTAACAACATGCTCTCACACACCTGAAAAGTGACTATCAACTATGGGACAGCCATGTCCTTTATATGACACATGTATTCTTCTGTTTTTCTTTCCAACACCTGGCTCCATGTATTTACTTTCCCAGATTGCCTTTAAGTCTCTGAATTGGCAAGCTCTGTCTAAGATAGACAGACCGCCACAGGTAGAATTCCTGCTATCTTTAACACAGACACTTCAGACAAAGCAAGAGTGCTCCCATGCTCCCACAGTTGCCTAGTGCACTGTCCCAAAGATTGAATTTCGGTCTAGCTGGTCTCTTATAGTGTTGATTATAACAATTACCATCATCATCATCATAACCAATCAGTATTTATTAAATCTCTCACAGGAACTAGAAATGAGGGTGTCCATGACATAAAAAGGAAAAAAAATCAGGCTATTAGAGGGCTCACAAAACATCACAAATATCCACATTTCAGAATTCAGCAGTGATTATCTCAGTGATTGAGGGGGTTTCCTTTGATGACATACACTATACACAGTTTCAGCTCTTTCAAAACCACCAGAACATTTACCTGACAATTTGATTCCTGGTCCCACCATCCTTCTGAACTAGCCACACTGGTTTGTGTGATATCTTGTGGAATTCGCCAAACACACACTAAACCACTCTGGCAGCCACTTAGAAGAAAAAAAAAGAAAAGTGTGTATGTGTGTATTATATATATATATATACATACACACACACATCATACATCATAAATTATGCAAAGCTAACACATACCAATGTACCAAACCAAACAAAAATATTTTCAAATGGAAAACATTTAAGTGCTGGTAGTACCACAAAATTAATTTTACAATTTATTGTTGTACATATCTATAATCTTTGACAGGAAATACAATTGGGACCACTATCCTAATAATATCACGTCAAGTTTAACACCAGAAAGTTGCTCTTTTATTTCTCTCTGAGGTGGTGTTATGGTATTATATATTTTAAGAACAATACATGGCAATAAATGAGTTAAGACTATCAAGAAGTCACATTCAAGGTAATTAATGATCTATTTTAATACAGAAACTAAGTCGCAAACATACGCATACACGTAAATTTACAACGTACGTAGCCATCAGTAACTGCAACTTGGATCCTTTCCCAGGGAGGGTGCACCACGCAGTGCCATTTACAATAGACGGGTGACGGAGGGAACGGAGGCAGCGCCAGCACCCCGAGACGGCGCCCCAGAGTTTCACGTTTTCTTCTTTGGCACAGGTCATAAGGATATGACCTGTTGGGTCCCACTTCATACTAACAAGAGTATCCTTAGAACAAACAGGAAGGGGAAGAATAAAAGTGAGAATGACGCTTCTTTCACAGTACCTTTAACAAATAAAAACATTAAATTCAGTAATTTATGACCTATACTCCCACCACTCAGTAATTTTGAAATGAACATTTTATGCAAATCAGATACTGCCATATCACTCCCTGTCATAGGAACAATTCACCCTATAATATAGCCCGCATTATAAATACTTGCTATAGTCAGGTTGAATAAATGTTATTGAATGAAGAAATTATGAAATTCTGATTCAAATAAGATATATTTATTTATCTTTCATTAGCGTGTGTTCATTTTGCTAACTGTTGTTTTTATTGATTGGTAACTGTTACAAAGTAAACAAACAAACAAAAATCTCCTACAACCCAAGCAAAAGCATCCCTTCTCCACTAGTGGGAACAGCAAATACTTATGAGACTTTAGGACAGCGGGTCTCAATGTGTGGGTCGTGACCCCTTTGGGGGTCAAGCGACCCTTTCACAGGGGTCGCCCAATTCATAACAGTAGCAAAATTACAGTTATGAAGCAGCAACGAAAATAATTTTATAGTTGGGGGGGTCACCACAACATGAGGAACTGTATTAAAGGGTCACGGCATGAGGAAGGTTGAGAACCACTGGTCTAGGACATTTTCTGTTTTTAGAGTCATCATTGTGCTGCTGTTTTTATTTGTTTTTCATCTTGCTTCACACCTTTTAGCACCTGGTCTTAAGCATGCTATTTTTCCAGATGGCCTTCTAAGTATCTCAGACAACCTCTGTTTAAGATATTTAGTTTTAAAAAAAAACTCGTATTAAGATATACTAGCATTTAATTAGTCATTAGCAAAATAGTAAAGAGAAAAAATAATCATCTGGCACAGTTGCTTTACCTTATGTGCATCAATCAGAACAATGCCTCCTTTCTCAAGGGGTTCCTTTGATCCCAGTAACAATTTCCCATCAAAATATCCCACTGCAAATGGTCTGTCTTCACTGAACCAAGCAATGCAAGTTACGGACACTACAAAGATTGTTTTAAAGAACAAAGAAAAGAGATGCATTTGCTACTGTACAACTTAGAAGACAGAGCCTTTGAAACAAATATATGCTACTGCAATCACTGTAAGCTTTCAAATACCTTTAGACAAAATGTCAGCTTATAAGTGTGATTCCACATACTATTTTTGGGGGGTGGTAAAAATATATTTTAACAAAACATTTGCTGTTTCAATTTTTTTCCATGTGTAATTCAGTGACATTGATTCCCTATGTTGTACATTACCATGAATTTTCAATCACCTTTACCAGAAACTCAGTGATTCTCCCTTTCTTCTCCCCATTTAAACACAAAAGCAAACTCATTGCCACAACGTTGCTTCCAGCTCAGAGTGACTGCGGACAGAGTAGAACTGCCCCAAAAGGTTTCCACGGCGGGGATAATTCCTTACAGAAGCTGACCGCCACATCTTTCTATAATCCAGAAAACAAAGCCTAGTAGTAGCCACTCAGCATTTTAAAATTCAAACGTTAAAAGGCTAAGTATTTGATGGGGGTATTTCTGAACTTGACATAAGTTTTATCACGTACCATCTTTTCGATAGCAATGCTCCATTTCTCTACGGTGCATGGTAGACACATCAACAACTTCAATGAGTCCTAGAGATCCATCCATTCGTCCCACCAACAGTAATTCTGGAGACTCTCCCGACCAGGCTGCAGCAGGACTCTCTTCTGGCCAAGCCAGGGCAGATACCCAATGAGGCTGAATATCTACTAATCCTTTGCCTCCTAAAAAGAGAGAAAATGTTAACTAGGAGTTCTTCATTCTTAAAAACAGTAAGACTAAAAATAAACGTTATGTACAGCAGACATTCAAGGCAGTTCCCAATTTCATAAAACTGTTAAGACGAACTCAACCAAGAGGAATTATTGAAACCCAAATGAAGACTGAGCATGATAGTGGGACAAGAGGAAAGTCAAAGGAAATAGAGGAAAGAGCTAGGAGGCAAAAGGCATTTATAGAGGTCTAACTAAAGGCATGTACATATGCAAATATATTTATATATGAGGATGGGGAAAAAGATCTATGTGCATGTATTTATAAGTTTAGTATTAAGGTAGAAGGACATTGGACCTCCACTAAAGTACTCTCTCAATGCTAGAATACTTTCTTCTTTTAAATTGGCATTCTATGATGTTCACCTTCCTGACACAACTGCTGAAGACAAAGCAGGTGAATAAGCAAATGTGGTGAAGAAAGTTGATGGTGCCCGGCCATCGAAAGATATAGCGTCTGGGGTCTTAAA